TGTTCTCGTTTTGCATTGTCTTTTTCACTGCTGCGAGGATGTCGTTCCTGCAGCGATCCTAGAATCCCCATCCGAGCTGAGCTTCCTACAGCTCTAGACTTTACGAGCTGATCCCAGACGACACTTTTTGGATTTAAGGTGATGTGAAAGTGGCGTTGAAGAGGTTTTGTTTATAAAACTTTTCTCCCAACTCGATTTACCGAATAGTTTGAAACGTTACAACGTGAATAGGGAGACTATAAGGAAGGTCCTGAAACTCATGAAATTTCAATTCTTTTCAAATTTGTTTATAGGTATTTTAAAAATACATTATAAAAAATGAAATTTCGCGAGTTTCAAAACCTATCTTAGGGTCTCTATATTCACGTTTTACAGTATGAAACGAGTTCAGACACCCAGTTCGTAAAAAAGTTTTATGAACGATTTAGCTTTCAGATGCCACTTTCACATCCCCTTAAGCGGCACGTCTCTTTTGCCCCGGGTGAAAAGTTCCCATATCAATTGATAATCGGCCACACCTATTCGTAAGCCAAAAAAATGTTTATCTTGCTATTTAATTTATAAGCGTAGAAAAAACACGCGTTATCATTACCACAATTATAAAAACCATTACAGTAAGCGCTCTTAAAAATTAGAATAGCAGGTTTGTAGAGTTATGACTACTAATAGTGTAAGATGGTGTAAACGGCGCTTTTGAACGTTTAGGTTACTCGGATACACTTCTTTTTAAGATAGATGTATTGGTTCGCCTCAAATTTTAACAATTTTGTATATATGTGACACGAAAAAATGTAAATGTAACGATAGTTTATTTACAAAAATTCTGCAATTACCGCTGTAACCGCAACGGACAGAAGGGCAAAAACTTGTAATTACTACTACGACAATTGGTACGGTTCCAACAACAGTTTTACACGTGAGCATGTGTAATGGTTACAATAAAATTTTGCACGTGTAAATCTGCATTGATAATAGAATTTCAAAATCTAGGGAAAGTACTTGAAAAAATGTCTGCCCGTAGTAAATCCGGTTCATGGGTACAATATCTTGAGAAATCAGAGTGAAAAGCCGACAATTGTGACAATATTATGTATCTCATAAAGTACCTCGGAAATTTTAGAAACGACTTATCTGTGTGCTGCTATTGGATGGACATAAGTCGACATCTAATAGATATTTTGTGGAATTATTACTGCACATAAATTGTACAATTCATAACACAACATTAGTGCTAAAATTATACCCAAGAAACTGCATTTTAATCTCTGGTTAAATAACATTAATCCCGTCACGACTTAAGAATATATTGAAAACATTCAATAATTTTCCGCCAACAATTAGTAATTCAATGATGAACAGACATAAAGATCGAGGACTTAAAACACTTTTTGGTCATAACAGAGTGAGTTCCAAAGTATTATAAATTAAGATGCATTCAGTAATCGATGATGGCCCTTTTTTTGTCGGAAAAAATCGGCGATCAACGTGTATCTAAATTTATTGACCCGCAGATAATAATATCGTACCTGCACACAGAAAAATATTCGGTTGAATCGATACAATTTTCATTGGTTCAACCATAGATTATGGTTATTATACGTACAACCAAATATTTGATTGCCATGACATAATTCTTTGATGAAAAACTTCTATTTTATTACATTAAATCGTGGTAGGTCACCTCAAACATTAAAGTAATTTGTTAAATTTAATCAAAATATTTGATTTATTCATTGAAATATTCTCTAAAATTAACACAACGATTTTATTAAGGTGAAGTGAAACACGTCGAGGAACTGGATCGACGTCAATAAAGAAGATTTCTCTAAATACCTACGTTGCCGACGTTCGTTTTTATATTGACAGCTGTGTCAAATTGTATTGGGTATTGTCGTAAATGGCATACGCCACCTGTCGTTTCGTACAATAATTATAAAGAAATCGAAGTAAAACTCTAGAAATCCTCTGGATTCATGCTTTCTGAGGCCCTAATTCACTGCAGACGGACCCCCTGCACCATCTGTGATTTCCAGATCAATTAAATTTTCACTCCAAGACCTCGTATTTCCATCATTTTAGCATAAAAGCGCACGAAACACTTTTTTTGCCTTTATCTCGTCCAAATGCGAGTTTATCGATTACCAGAGTGTTCTAAATCGTCGTAAAATTGTCCTGACCCTTTCGTTTCTCATATCAGAGCCTTCGATAATTGTATATTGATCGAAATATAAAAGCTCAACGCCATATTGGATCTGATCTGGGCTAAGTTAAACAATTTTTTCCAAAAATCCAAATTTTGAATGTGTCAGGACAATTGTTAGATGATCACGAATCGCGTGACAAAGTTCCGAACAGTTTGGTCCAATACCCTTAAAAAAAAGTGTTGTATTTGAATCGTCTGATTTGAAGGGGGTTTCACTTCACCTTAAAACACTTTAATTTATCAACGTGAAGTAAAATTCGGTTCACTCGACCATGTTATCTGAAATGAACACAAATGCAATCAATGAATCGATTTTGTTCAATGAACAAATTTTCTTTTTGCACGAAAAAAAATAATTTGGTTACAATTACTATAGTGACATGGCTAAAATACTGTGCGAAGTAAAACCACATAAATGGTGAAATTTACCACATGGAATGGGAAATGTAACCTTGCGAATAGGTACGGTATCAATGGCGTTGTACTTAAAAAGTGCAGGAGTGATCACCATTTGGAATGGTAATATTATCTACATGGAGAGGTTACAAATGCGCACAGTAAAATGGAAGGTTTATCTGGGAGCTGTAACCACGTATTATAGTAAGGTTATACACGTTGTAAGGTTATTCTAAATTTGCCTATGCGATTGCAGAAGAAATACTTTGGCCCCATTAGTTTCGACAGCGCCGCCAGGTGGCAAAACTTCTCGCAGGCGATGCAGACTGCGCGTTGGCATATAAGACTCGTTACTATCTCTTACGTTTACGATACAATGACTACTCCGTCTCAAAGAAGAGGGAAAAGGGAAGTGATCGTCGAGAGTCCACATTTTTAAGCATCAACTGTTATTTTACTACTTCAGGTAAAAATGTATAAGAACACTGACAGAAACGTAAGTATAGCGTTCGTAATCATAATAATTGAATTTTTTATGTCAGCGGTAAATTTTTAAGTGAATATTCAGAACTATGTACAATGTGGGAACCGCTCGTTCCTTGTAGTTACATTGACTAAATCGTGAAGTAACCCTTACTGTGTTACGCTGGTTACATTGACTAAATCGTGAAGTAACCCATACTATGTTACGCTGGTTATATTGACTAACAATAAATGATGAAATAACCCTTCCTATGTTCTTTTTACTATGTTACGCTGGTTAATGCAACCTTCTCCCAAGGTTGCCCCGTATGTTGCCTTGCAATAGGGTTACGATTACCACAATTGCAGTTTTCCTAACAATTCTTTTTTTTTTCCGTGTGCATTTGCGATACGTCATCTGCGGCGAATCAAGTATTTCAAGACCTTTATGCATGGAACTGTAATTTCTCATGCGTCTTCTTTTATTTCCGTGAATTCTTTGACATAGCTCGCAGCACATGCGGCGCCGGATGCTGCAATCACTACTTCGAATCGCACCGGAAAAGCGTTGCACCTTGAAAGCAATTAAAACATTACCCATGTCAGAACACGGTCGTGTCATATTATCTGCTTTTGTTGCATTCTTGAGGAACACCGTCCTAGAGAATTGAGTAAGTCCCTCTCTTCCTCTCTGTATTTCTTTTTACGTACCTCCTTCTAAAGAATCAGCGTTCCGGATCAGAAATCTCTGAAATCTGGAGTTGAAAAGAAAGGCATCTTTAGAATGTTGCAGATGCCGTCTATATACACGTTGTGAACACCCCATACATTTTCCCTCCTGATATAAAATCTGTGTTAAATGTACATTATATACGATGACCTAGTTAAAATAGTTCCTTAAGTAAAAAATGTCTGCAACTGCATACGCGTTCAACGTATAGCTCGAGATAGTCTTTATTGGCGATAAAAGACATTATTAAATTAAGTGATTTATATTCAAAATCAGTATATGGCTGCCATAGCGCGTTAAAAGTGAAATTTTATTTTAAACTTTAGAGAAACACTGAAACTGCATTTACAGTTATCAATGAAAAGCCCTCCATGACTTCAATTCCACACTTACTTCCTTTTTCTTTAACGGCGTTCACCACCAAAATGGGGACGATGACTTCCACCGCTAGATAGCACTAGCATCGAATTCGGTGGGAGGTAACCAAAACGTACTTTCTCGCTCGGTTGAGGGAGACGCGACACATAATGGGCGGTGTTTAGCAACGGGCGAAAAATGTGTGCGTATTTTGCACGTACAGGACTAACACAACGGCTAGACGCCTCTGGACTAGGCGCCGAAACGTGTGTGACCCCCGGCCCCCGTCGCCTAGAGTCGGCCGACTCTAGGCAACGGTTGCCAAGGAATGTCCAAATTCCTCGCGAGAAACTCGAAAATCCTGAAAAAGGTGCTCCACAGGGACAACGATTTTGAGCGTATTTTTCAACCGATCGAGCTCAACGAGTGCTCGTTTTAAAGATAAAATGTTGACGTGTGTTTATATGGGAGCGATTTTCGATCGAGCACCTCCTTCCTAGGTAAAAGGGCATTGAAATTATGTCGTTGCACTTTTTTATATGATAATGACCACTTATCGAAAATCGCTCCCATATAAACACAGGTCAACGTTTCATCTTCGATATGAGCACTCGTTAAGCTCGATCGGTTTAGAAATACGTTCGGAATCGTTGTCCCTGTGAGGCCCTGCAAAATCGCTGGAGTGGTGAGCGCCCTTAATGTTTTTTATCTATAAATCTATCTAAAAGGAGAGGCCAACTAATGCAAGAGGCGGAGGACCGCTGCGCAACCGCGTTATACAGGGCCCTTTGATGCGCGCGCAATTTGAAATTAAATAGACATTCTTCACAACAGAATTCAATGTTCTTTCAGACGGCGCAGAGCAACAACCACCACGTAGTCCTGACCAACGTGCAGCCCGATCTGGCTGGCAAATACCGTTGCGAGGTCTCCGCAGATTTTCCGACATTCCATACCGAAATGGTCTCCAGTTACATGCACGTAGTCAGTAAGTATACTTGTCGAGGCAATACAGTGGTAACTTTATCGGACGCGAGTCCAGGACCCGGAAGAACGATTTCAAAATGGTCCAGCTTGCAAACCGTTACCATCTGCAAATTAATCGCCAGATGAGATGGTATGGCGTTCTGAAAAATGAACTTGCGGAACTATGTTTTCGTTTGTCGCGTTTAGAGGGTATCTTTCCTCATCTAGAGCTTCCAATACCAAGTGATCTTTATGAATCCTTATACCGGTAAAAAAAATACCTACACCCTGGTACTTTTCAGTACATGTTTGTTAATCTTTCAACATATTGTGTTTAAAATTCGGCGAAAAAGAATTAAATATTTTTGCTGCTACATCATTGAGACCCTAAGCAAACGAAGTATTTCCGAGGTCATGGTTGACATGACTCCACTCCTTCTGACAATGAGTATATAAATGGAATGAAATTGTAATTTCCCAATCAATTTCGTTACTTGAGACCACTACTGAATTTGTTTCGACTTATTGTCAATCGAGGCAATATTATTTAAGATATGTCAACTACATTTTATCAGTTTAAAGTAGAGTGTAATAACAGATATTACAATTCCCTTGCATACCTTTAAGGTAATGTGAAAGTGGCATCAAAGCGGTCCCGTCTATGAAACTTTTCTACAAATTGGGTTTACCAAATCGTCTCAAACTTTACAACGTGAATATGGAAGTTATAAGGAAGGTCCTGACACCCACAAAATTTCAACATGTTAGCAATTTGTTTATAGATAATTAAATAATTTAAAAAAAAATGAAATTTCATGGGTGCCAGGAGCTTCGTTATAGCTTCTACATTCACGTTGTAAAGTTAGAACCGATTCAGTCCACCCAATTCGGAGAAAAGTTTCATGAACGACTTCAGATGCCACTTTCACATCCTCTTGATCAACAGTCCCTACATCTACACCATGTGACACTCTCACAAGGAAGGTATCCCAGGTCGATCTCTCCGATTTGATTTCTTTTATAATATGTTATAGTAGACTAAAAACTAAGCGACACGTATTTTTTTTTATCTGCCATTAAACACTTTAAAGGGGTGAAACCACCCTCCACAGTAAGGCCTGTGAGGGGTGGCTTACCCCTTAATTTCTTTTTTTATTTGAGAAAATTATATTCTTCATTTCTCGTTATGAGAAAGCTTTTCCAGGTGGATTGGTTAAAAAATATTATGTTCTTATGGGTGAAACTGCCAAATCGCCCCTTGACATGCCTTACTTTGGATGGTGGTTTCACCCCCTTAAAGTGTTTAATGGCAGATATAAAAAAAATACGTATTGCTTAATTTTTAGTCTACTATAACATATTACAAAAGAAATCAAATCAGAGAGATCGATCTAGGATACCTTCTTTGTCAGAGCCATATCTATGGCGTGGCGAGGACAGCGCTTGCCACAGGCGCAAGAGGGACAAGAGCACCACGTAAAATAAATTATTTTCGTATTTACTCGTAGAGATAATTGCACGGACCACACGGCGCCACATCGAGAGCGCAATTGAGCGAGTTTATGATCACTAGCACAAGGCGCATAGAATAAATTTGTTTCTTTTTTAAGAAAGAAGTTGTTAAATGGGGGAACGTTCAGTCTTCTACAACTTGTGTTGATACACGTAAGACTCCGAGCACCGTGCTGCAATGGTTCTGGCATTGCATTTTGCACAATGTCATCGCTAGTTTTTTAAGGGCCAGGGGTTATTTTTGGACACTTTATTTTTTTTTTAGCGGAAGAGGGAATATAAATAAAATTAATAAAACAAATAATTGTTCTTTTTTGCTTTATTGATAACGTCGCCCCCGGCTTGGCGTATCGGTTTAGTTTAAGGTGTTATGAACAACGGCACAAATATATATATATAGAATGTGCATACGTGCATATATGTTATATATTTTATACAAATTCTCTCCAAACTGGGTACATCGAATCATTTGAAACTTCAGCATGTAATTATGGAAGCTCTAAGATACAACGTGATGCTCATGAAATATCATTCAAAACAAATGCGTGTCATTGGTTCTGGTCTGGTAATAGTCTGGAAAAATGAAATTTCATGAACATCACGTTTTTTTTCTTAGGGCCTCTATAATGAATTGCCGAAGTTTCAAATGATTAGGTGCACCCAGTTTGGAGAAAAGTTTTATAAATATTTTGACGTTTCCATATATATATATATAGAATGAGCCTTTCTTAATACCTTCAATGTTGAATTGGTATAGGGTAACTATTTTGTCATTATTTTTTTCAGTTACTCGGTCTCCTCCCAGGGCCCCTCTTTGATCTTGTCCCTGTGAGGGGTGCACCCGTTACACCTGACTAATTACGGCACTGATTATCTACATGTAATGCAACATCTTCCATAAAGAAGTTTACGTTAAAGTCGAGAGACGGAAGATAACTCTCTACCAACCCTTTCCTGCCACCTTTACCCTTGCATATCTGCTCCATGTCTCTAAGCTACACTTCAGTAAAGGTCATTTAGATGTTCATGATTCTGAGACATATACACTATCTGGAAGTAATTGTTGCACGTGTACAGTGCAGCAGTTATTACCGCAAAATCTCAAGAGGAGCTAGAACCATTTAACGTGAAAACAGATCAGCTCGGGAAGACCATTTCGAAATGACCAAAAGTCTACAGCGCGGCTCTGGAAGAACCATTAAGATTAGAGATTTCGTAAAAATTTCGCTTCTCAGCCACTCTGCATTTACATTGTGCCCGTTTTAACGATGCTCTTATTTCATTCAGCGACGAAAGCGTCTTGGAGGATGGCAACGACCTCTTTTTGCGGTTTCCTTGGCTTCTCCCCGCTTATCCTTCACTCTTCGCGGGAGATCCGTTTGTAATCGAGCATGGAATCGCGACAGCGCGACCTAACGGCTATCGTGCCCAATTAAAAGACGGTTAACGTCGAACGAGGATCTCACCTCCGCCATTTTGGGTCCCCTGAGAGCGCGTTGCGTCGTTAGGGTCGGGAGTTGGGCGCAAATCGGCCATCTCCAAATTCCGGAACGCCTCAAGTTGCCTCAGAATACTTCTTACCTCCGCGGGATAAAAAGGATACATCTCGGCAATATAGCGAATGAATTCCTGACCTACATTTCGCTGCCTCGGAATTCGCGGCTCTCGTGGTAGCAAATCTTGTGGCATCTTGTGTTAAACTCCGTCCGCACCCGCTATTTGCTGAAAACACGGGACACCGTGTACCAAATGTTATACCGTTAAAAATATTTCCTCGAAATATAGTATACATGTAGTCGTAGTTTTCCCAAGATACGATATTTCGACATTTTCTTATACCATTGTATTCGGGGCTTCAGGGTACAAGTGTAGGATTTTCAGAGGACATGTATGCTAAATTTCGAAATCTTTTGAATACTAACTTTTGATCACATCTGTAAGAATTCATAGGCGATTGCCTACGAAGATACATGTACGGGTGTACGACTGTCATAAGACATGTCTACGGAAACTCGGATACTTTTCTGTGTTGATTTTCGATAGGGTAAACATACGCGATTTTACATGGCTTGAGGAGAACGCATTGTAGGACATTTATTAACATTTGTCTTTGTAAGCTTTTCGATCTGAACGCGGACGCATACACGTGGGAATGCATTGAGAAATAAAACATGATTGCGCTAAGGGAGGGTTAATAATTTATTCTAGAGCTTTGGGTACAATTAACACTAGAACTACCAAGGCCTGTCAAAATGACTGGTTTCAAATGGCCCATCCTACATAAAAAAAATCCGCCGGTAGTTCTAGTGTTAATCTCTCCCATAATCAGACTCCATACGAAGTGACTCATCGTCTCTTTCGGCAATCGAGGAATATCGCGACTCCCCACTCATAGCATCTTGTCCTACCCATTGGTCTTCGTTAAATTTAAATTGCGAGCTCTTACATACTGATTTAGTTTCTCATCTTACAGTTTTTTGTTTTTAATTTTAAATCATTTTGTGCGAATCCTCACGTACAAAAATTGTGTTCTTCGAGATATGTCCGATTTTCATTCAGAGTTATGCTGTTACTTGGTCTAATTTGCAGTTGTATTCGAAGGTGTTCGAAAAAACGAAATAGTTTTAACAGCATTGGTAACATACATTCATGCACCCGAAATAGTCTTTCCTGGTTAACGCCAAGCTAGAACGTAGTCAAAATTTAAGTGGGTAGGATACCCGTGAAATTGAAACAAAAATCGATTTTGAATTGTACGAATGGCTCCATATCTTTCGTAGACTTTAAGCTATCATTTATTTGAAAATGTCAAAAATTGATCGAATGACAGACGGTTCTCTATAAGCGATCGATCACGATCGAGCACACTTGAGGAACTGTGAACGCCGGGAACCATTTTCTTTAAAGAGAACTCAAACAACGTTGAAGGAAAATTAAACAATCGTTTATGGACAACTATACCCTTCGGAAGTATCAAATGCATGGACAAGAATTGGCTAAATTGTTACAGTCAAATTTAGAATCGCAAGTATGAGAAGAATGTGTATCTGAAACTTTCAGCGAGATTTCCTAAAAACTGTTCTCAACGATATAAAATCTCTGTAACAACTTCAACGATTTATTTCAAAATTTTGTCTAAAATCTAATCCTATAGCGTCGTTGGGCGAAGCGAATGAGAGGTTTTGATTAGCCGCAGAAAACGTACAACGGAAGTTCTTCCACTCTGGTGTTTCTCTGCAACCACTCGGACCCTCTCGTTCACTCCGTCGCAAATATTTAAATTCTCACGATTTCTAAAAAAAAAAAAAGGTTTGGAGAAATGACGGATAAGTTATCAGGCATTTCTCATCGTTCGTGACGTAACTTACCGCGTTTAGAACACTAGATATTACACGATACATTGCAGTTCACATCACCCTGCTGTTAAATTACGTACTGCAATGCACACTGATCTCGCTGGATTTTCGGTGCAATATCCAGCACGCGTTGCACAATGAGATGCACATTGCGTTGCTCGGCGCTTTGTGCAGGGTGAGGAAAGAGTTCTCGTACACAGTTGAGTTTTAAAACATTTGAAGACTTATACGGGAACTTTTTCTTCACCCTGTACAATACGCGGAAAACGAGCGAAGTCGAGACAGGTAAAGAATTCGCATCTACGTTCCATTGTTGCGATACAGTGCCATAAATTTCAGGTCTGCCGCAAGGAAACCCTAAGGTGCACGTAGAAAAGCGGCGGTACGCAGTGGGCGACGTCATCAGAGGCAACTGCACCGTGCCACCAGGAAACCCTCCGGCCAACGTCACCTGGACCGTCAACGGACATCCGGTAGGTTCCCGGATACCTGCCGATGCGCGCCGCCGAGGCGGCGCCATCGAAAAGGGGTTCTTCCATCACCCTTATTCGTGGCTACATTACCCCAGTGATGTGGCGAGTCGAATATTCTAACTTGTTAAACTCGAGTCAAGCATGTATTCAAGTCAACTCGAGTCAGGCATGTATTCGACTCAACTCGAGTGAAGCATTTATTCGACTCAGCTCGAGTCAAGCGTGTATTCGAGTCAGTTCGAGCCAAGCATGTATTCGACTCGACTCGAGTCAAGCATGTATTCGACTCAACTCGAGTCGAGCATGTATTCGAGTCACCTCGAGTCAAGCATGTTACGTCCGTAAAGAAAATGTTTGTAGTAAATAAAGTGTAGTTATAATTTAACAACACCTCATACCTTCCAGGGAATTTTTAACTTTCTCCGCGTTCTCACGGTGTGCATTTGGCCGCCGAATATTGTTTTTGCCTCCGTGCGAAGGAACCGAACTTCCACAAAATTTCGAGTACACAGGATCATAAAAAATACCCTCGGACGGTACGTGCTCTAACAAAGGGATGGTCAGGCTGTCCTCGACCAGGCTACCCTTTTGCCTACCCTCGCTGCCGATGTCGTGGGAGGCGACATTGTTAGTCATCTCCACCAACGAACCAATCACGAAGAAATTAGAAAATGTTTCTATCCCTTCCACGGCACAGCAACACTTTTTGAGGCACTGCGAGTCTTTGCATGGCTCCAAAAACGACTCTCTGCTTTGTACAACGATCAAGGGAAGTCCTCATTTGCAACTTTGAACGAACTTAACGTGAAGCTGCATCCCTCCGTACGCTTTATCCTAGTAGACGTCTGTTTTGAAAACACTTAATCAGAGCTACGAGGAACTGTTCGCCATCTAGCGTGCAGTGCAAAGAACACATGTATTTGAGTCAACTCGAGTCATTGTTGTTGTAACTCGAGTTATTGGTACAAACGAATGCGAGTTACGAGGACAAGGGCGAGGCCGAGTTACTCGTATCGATACCAATCGCGACTTACATGTCTCTTCAAGTAATCGTTAATCGAATCATTTTACTCGCCATTGACTCGACGCGTCGGGCCGAGTGTAGGCGTCATTGAGTCGTCGACTCGAGTTAGCAATGTTCGAGTAACTCGTATGGATGTTGGATGGATAGACTCGATGAACTATTCGACTCGTTACGTCGCTTGATTCGAGTCGCCGCTAATCGATCTGTTTCGCTCGCCAACTCGCCGCGTCGAATGTATGCGGCTCCCAGTTATCGACTCGAGTCCAAACAAATAGAACGAGTTGACAATGCTTTCGAAATCGAGTAACTCGGGTTGGTAAAGTATTCGACTCGTCACATCACTACCCTACACCAAGTCGAACTTAACCAGACTAGATGTTTCGCAACTTAAGGTGAAGTGAAACACGTCGAGGAACTTGATCGACGTCGATAAAGAAGATTTTTCTAAATGCCTACGTTGCCGACGTTCGGTTTATATTGACAGCTGTGTCGAATTATATTGGATATTGTACCAAATGGCATACTCCGCCTGTCGTTTTCGTACAATAAATATCAAGAAATCGAAGTAAAACTCCAGAAATCCTCTGGATTCATGCTTTCTGGGGCCTTAATTGACTGCAGAGGGACACCCTGCACCATCTGTGATGCCCAGGTCAATTAAATTTTCACTCCGAGACCTTGTATTCCCATCGTTTTAGCAAAGAAGCGTATACAACACTTTTTTTGCCTTTATCCCATTCAAATGCGAGTTTATCGATTACCAGAGTGTTCTAAATTGTCGTAAAATTGTCTTGACCCTTTCGGTAAGTTAAAAAATTTTTTCCATCAATCCAAATTTTGAATGTGTCAAGACAATTCTTAGATGATCAGGAGTGATGTGTCAAAGTTTCGGACAGTTTGGTCTAATACCCTTAAAAAAAAAATGTCTTCGAATTGACTGATTTGAAGGGGGTTTCACTTCACCTTAATTCAATATGAGGGGTGATCATATGATCGTCACTATATAAAA